GGGGCACTGACCTTTTCTGATTTTAGGGGGTAACCCGTCTCTTCAGCATTACTACCTGGTTTCAGAGATAGTTTGGGCAGTTTTTAATCTTCCTGGGAATGGGTCTGCTCTCTGAGGAATGTGGGCGCATCAAGCGAATGGGTCCACACAGCACGCTTCTTCCAGTTTTTAAAACTGTCTTTCCTCTGAGACTGTTGTCTTTCACGTTCCTCGGGCTCACCGGTGTCTCCTCTTTTGTCAGTCAGACTCTGAGGTTTGTCTATCCTATTATATTTTGCAAAAGCCAAACTTTGGGTCTTCCCTCCCTCCCGTGCCCCTCACGCCCGCAGGACGCAGCGCCCCCGCCCTCCTTCTCCCCAGCAAACCTCCCAGCACTCGGGGCTCCCTGCCCACGGGTCCTGCAGGGCCCACGCCGCCCCGAGGCTCCAGCCGCCGGCGCTCGCCGCATCGGTACCACAAAGCGCCCGCTTCCTCTCCAGCCACGTTACCGTAGCCACAAAACGCTTCCAGGGGCATGCTTGCGCTCAGCCCGCAGCACCTAGGGGATTAGCCACCTAGAGACTTAATCCAAAACCCTACCCAGGGAGCCGACACCTCTTGTCACTTCTCATCAGAGTTTTGGGGGAGACCATGCAGAGTAAGTGTCTCCAGTGTAGGCCACTTGTCCTGAGCGCGAAGCTCCCGTCCCCTGACCGTCTCCCCATCGTGGCCCCGCGTCCCGGGGAATTATAGATAGTTTCGTGACCCACTGGGCTTTAAGCCAGAGCTTCTTAGCGCAGGAAGTGGCCGCGCTGAGCAGTGACCGGCAGGCAGAGCCTGCAGCAGGGAGGTGGCTTCATCCCTTCCCACGTGGATAGAGGGACGGCGCCGAGTGCTCACCGGCAGGGCGGCCGCGGGCTCGGCCTTTCTCGGCGCTGGAAGCCTGCCAAAGTGTCAGGGGTCTGAGGGGGCAGTTTCCGTTTGGGGAGATGAGAATTTGTGGAGATGGTGGTGGACGGTCGCTCAGTGCGAATGTACTGAATGCCCCTGGGCTGTGCGCTTAAAATGGCTGAGAAAGAAATTCTTATGTCGTGTGTATTTTACCACAGTCTTTAAAAAATTGCATTCTGTGACTACAGAATAAGAAGTTTGGGGGAAGAAAAAAAGTCAGGAAAACTGTAGACCCACTTCCTGCCCACGGCGGACAGGCGTCTGCAGCATTTTGCGTGTGAACTTGGGGGCGAGGACGCCTGGGGGCACCCGTGGAGACCGCTTTCTCGCCTGCAGAGGAGGTCGTCCCGTCCTCCCCGTGTCGTGGGAGACGTTGTGCGACTTGCTCTGGACGAAGAATCAATCATCCAAGTCTCTTCCGCAGGGTGGTGCCCGGGACCGTGGCCCCCGGCCCCCAGCACCGCGGCAAAGTCCCCGCGGCCGCCCAGCCACCAGGCCTCAGAGGCGGGGCCCCCACCATTGAGTGACCCCCGTGAGCCCCTGTGGAAAGTGGCCCTCGGATCACCTGTCGCCAGCTCCCTTGCAGACCCCCTTCTCCTGCTCTGCCTGGCCCTGGACCCGAGGTGGATCCCGGGGTCCCTCCTCCGAGGAGCCCTCGGTCTGCCATCAAATCAGGGCCGCCCAGGATGGCAGGAGGCCAGCGGGGGGGACCCGGAGGACCTTCAAGGGGACAGATGAGAACCCTACTCGGGGCCCCTCCGTGAACCGCCGCTTCCTCTCCCTCCCTTCCCAGGGCCTGGGGCCCGGCAGCTCTTCCCGCCCGTCTACGGTGTTTCCAGAACGACTTGGAGGGTGTCACGGGCTGAACTGTGTCCCCCAGATTCACAGGTTGAAGCCCTGACCCCGGGACCTCAGGATGTGACTCTGCGTGGAGACGGGGCCTTTAAATGGGTGACTGAGGGAGAACGAGGTCATTAGGGTAGGGCCGAATCCCACAGGACGGGCGTCCTGAGAACAGACACAGGGAGCACCACGTGGAGACACGGGGAGGACGCGGCGTCCACGCCGCCCCGAGGCTCTGTCAGCCGTGCGCGGGGGCAGCTCGCCCCGGACACCACGTTCTCCGAGGAGTGCCCGGCCTCGAGGGGACCAGGCTCTCCTGGAGGGGGAGGAGCGCGGGCTCCGGCCGATCCCCGCGGAGGGACACCCCCCCCCCCCGCCAGGAATCTTCTCGCATGCGGCGCTCACCCGGGCTAACCTGCGCGAGGCCGGCAGCCAGTGGGCAAACTGCTGTTTTCCTGCTGCAAAGGGGAAACGTCGGGGTCTGTCCGCATCCCCGGAGGAGCGAGCCGCTGGGGCGCCCCGGGGCCTGGCCGGCTGCCGACCCCCAGCGCCACCTGGCGGCCGCGGGCGGAACTTCCCTTGTGCCCGCGGGGTGCCGGCGGGTGGGGCCGCTGTGGGTGCATCGAAGAACAGAACCGGCAAGACGCCCGCGCGGCGGGCCCAGCGCCCCAGGAGCTGAGGCACCATGAAGCAGGCGGAGCGTCCGCAGCATCGGAAGGCCCCGCACCTGAGGACACACGGAGGGGCCGGCGCTAGGGTGGCCGGGGTCCCGCTGAGAACCAGGCGTCTGAGTACGGACTCGGCTAAGGGCGCCCCGTGGCTCTGCGGGCGGATCCGGGGAGGCCCTGCGGCGCGAGACCGGCTCCCGGAGAGGGAGGGGTCGGTGGGCAGAACCTCAGGGAACGAGGCGGGGACAAGGTCGGACACTGCTGGCCGTGCGGGGGACCCTGCGCCACAGCGAAGGTCCCGCCGCTACCCCAGAGCCTCCAGAATATTTTGAGCTAAGGAGAGCGATCCTTCTGGTTTTGCTGGGTTTATTTTATTTATTTATTTTTGGCCTTGCTGGGAGCGGCGCCGGGCGGGCATGTGGGATCTTAGTTCCCCAACCGGGGATTGAGCCCGTGCCCCCGCCAGGGGAAGTCCCGGTTTTGTTGTTGTTATTTATTTATTTATTTATTTATTTATTTATTTATTTATTGGCTGCGTTGGGTCTTCATTGCTGCGCGCAGGCTTTCTCTAGTTGCGGTGAGCAGGGGCTACTCTTCGTTGCAGTGCGCGGGCTTCTCATTGCTGTGGCTTCTCTTGTTGCGGAGCATGGGCTCTAGCCGCGCAGGCTTCAGTAGTTGTGGCTCGTGGGCTCTAGAGCGCAGGCTCAGTAGTTGTGGCGCACGGGCTTAGTTGCTCTGCGGCATCTGGGATCTTCCCGGACCAGGGCTTGAACCCGTGTCCCCTGCAGGTGGATTCTTAACCACTGCGCCACCAGGGAAGTCCTGTTTTGTTGTTTTTAAAGAACGAGCTGCAGTCACTCTGGGATCCACTTCCCGCCCACTGGGATAGCCAGGACCAAGAAGACAGACCATAAGCAGCGTTGTGCAGGGTGTGGGCAGGTTGGGAGCCTCGCAAAGCGCCCGTGGGAGTGTGACAGGGCGCGGGTGCTTTGGAGAGCAATCTGGCATTTCCTAAAAGGTGAGACGTGGAGTAACTGTATAAGCCAGAGTCCCACTCCTGGTACAGGCCCAGAGAATTAAAAACCTGTGTCCACAGAGGACGTGTATAGGAATGTGCACAGCAACTTTACTCAGAAGAGTCAAAAATGGAAAGAACCCGAGTGTCCCTCCACGGATGCTGGTAGACAGCATGTAGTTGCAGCCACTCGGTGGAATGTTACTCAGCCACAAAAAGGAGCAAAGTTCTGCCTCACTTGACAACGTGGATGAGCCTTGAGAGCATCATGATCCGTGAAGGAAGCCACAGCGGCCCCGGATCGTGTGAGTCCGTCTCCACGGAGCGTCCAGAGCAGGCAAAGCCGCAGAGACAGAAGGTGGACGAGTGGTGGCCTGCGGGGGAGAGGGCAGCGTGGCGGACGCTGGACGGAGCCCCGAGGCCTGCCCGGCCTCCTGCAGACTCGCCCGCCCAGAGGACCCTGGGGGGAGGGGGACGCCCTGCGGTGAACCTCGACCCACGACCCACGGGCGGCACTGACCCCAGGGCTGGTCCAAGCGTCCTCTCCTTGCCCATCTCCCCGAGAGCCCTGCATGCCAAGCGGCCAGCCGCGGGGGGGCCTCAGCTCGTGGCGGCTGCCTGTTTCCTCACGTCCATCCTGCTTCCCTGCCGCACAAGCTCAAACACACCAGCGTCCCCAGGGCTCCACCAGATTCGTTTCACGTGGGGCTCACGAGCGACAGTAAAGTCTCCCCCAGTCGGGCGAGCCGCGAGGAAAGCCACAGACTGACGCACCTCTCACAACCGGGGCCTGGCCTCTCGTCGCCCCCGGAAGCCCTGCTGCGGCCAGTCGTGCCGCCCCCATCCTGCAGCCGCCTGGGCCCAGTTGGGCCTCTTCTGGAGAATCGCGTGGATGGGACTTCACGGGCGTGGCCTCTGAGGCCGCTCCTCCTCGGGCGGCGGGGCCTCCCGTCTGGGGATGCACCACGTTTGTCCACTCACGCAGCAGCGTCAGGAGCAAGAATGAAGAGCTTGAGCGGGTCAGGGTGCGACACAGGTGTTCAGCGCACCCGGTGAGTGTGTGCGCGGCCGCCCCCCCGCTGCTCGCGAGGCCGCCGGCGTCCCGTCCGGCGTCCCGTCCGCCGCGGGTGCCCCAGGCTCTGCAGCCTGGCGGCCCTTGGTCCGTCTAATCACAGGCCGGACCTCAGCCTGCTCTGCGTTTCCCTCGGGGCTAACGATGGTGGACCAGCTTTCTCGTGCGTCTGAGCTGGCTGTATATTGTCTTGGTGAAATGTCCGTTCAAATTTTTTGTCTTGTTTTTAATTGGGTTGTTTTTTTTTAAATTTATTTTATTTATTTATTTTTGGCTGCGTTGGGTCTTCATTGCTGCCTGCAGGCTTTCTCTAGTTGCAGCGAGCAGGGGCTTCTCTTGTTGCGGAGCAAGGCTCTAGGCACACAGGCTCAGTAGTTGTGGCACGTGGGCTCTAGAGCGCAGGCTCAGTAGTTGTGGCTCACGGGCCTAGTTGCTCCGTGGCATGTGGGATCTTCCTGGACCAGGGCTTGAACCTGTGTCCCCTGAATTGGCAGGCGGATTCTTAGCCACTGCGCCACCAGGAATGTCCCTTAATTGAGTTGTTTTCACTTAACTTTTGAGAGTTTTTTGTATAGTCTGCATCCGAGTCCTTTGTCAGATGTGTCATTTCTTCTCGTCTGTGGCTTGTCTTTTCATTCTCTTAACAGTGTCTATCACAGAACAAAAGTTTTTAATTTTTATGAAATCCAATTTATCTAATTTTTCTGTTATGTGTGGTGTTTGGTCATGACTAAGACCTCTTTGTCTAATCCAAGATCATGAAACTATTCTCCTCTTTTTCTTCTAAATGCTTTACAGTTTTATGTTTTACATTTAAATCTATTCTTTTTTTAAAAACAAAACTATACTTTGTGGCTTACCTGGCTTGTTCTCACTATTAGGGTGGGAGCGACGGCTTCTCATGACTTACTCTGCAAGTACTGTCAACGTCATCTCCAGCCCAGGAGGAGCGGGCAGGAGGGGGGAGGCACAGGGCAGAGAATTGTTTTAGCAGAGCCCAGAAGAGCAGCCTGGTGTCTGCGGGGTGGGCGCTGGGCACAGAGGAAGGTGACAGTTACATTTCTGGCACTCTGGGTGCAGAGGAGCGGCTCCGGTGTTTGCCCCGAGAAGCCACCAGAGGGAACAGTTTCTAGATCAGCCAGCACGTCTGCTCCAGGGGAAGGTGGGACCAGTGGGAGACCCCCCACCCAGGGGTCTTTAGCGGGCTCCAATGTCCTCACTGCGCCATCCGCAAGGTCAGGGGAGCCTTTCCAGTTGGAACGGCCAACTGATGACTTTTACCTGCAGTGACCAGTCATCTGTGTGCTCCTGCGGGGGAGGGACATGTCTGCACCTGCCCTTTCCTCTGGGGAGACTTGGTCTCTGGTGAAGGGGGCTCCTTAGGACGGTGCTGAGCTGAGACCCGGTGTCTCCACGTCCACAGAAACACTCACTCAGTCGGGAGGTTTACTGATGCTAAGTTATCACCTCGAGGTTCCAGTAGGGGCCACCCGGATGCGGGCGGTCTCAGGAGTTCACAGCTAGACGTCTGATACCTGCAGGTTTTCATCATCCCGGGAAGAGCAGCCTGAACACGTGCGGGGCTCGGGGTCCAGGCAGGTCTCCAGGGCACAGACCGGGTCCAAGTCACTAGAAGACACACTAGAATTAGGAAACGCACGGGGAGACGCAGCCTTCGGGCAGCTGGATTGTAAGGGCCACACTGTCCTCGGGACCAACAGTCCGCGCCTCTGGGCGAGGCTGCCAGCGGAGCGGCCTGGTTGTCTCCGACACCCTCGGGACACCCGTGGACTCACTGTCGTGGCACCTGCTGCACCCACCGCCGCTCTGGGTGCTGACGGGCCAGGTGGGCGTGCTCAGGAAGCTCTGGCTCTCACCCTCGGGGCTCAGACACACCTTTTCCGTCAGACTGCAGTCACGGGTCCCGGGGTCCGAGCTCGGGCACCAGAGTGTCATCTCCCAGCCGCTCGCCGTGCCCCTCCGGTCACCGTGCCCCACCTCCCTCTGCGCCCCCCCCACCCCGTCCTCCGTGGTGTCTTCAGGTCCTGCGTCCTGGGGGGCCGCCTCACCGAGCTCCTTCCTCTGGGGAAGGTGATGGGGGGGAGGCCCCCGAGACAGTCCTTCCCTTCGTCCAGCCCCACAGGAGTGAGTCCCGGTGCTGCCCCGTCTCGTGGGTCCGCCCCCCGCCGCTGTGCTGGCCCTTCCCCGGGCGTCCAGCGCCGTGTCCTGCTGCGACCCTGGTGGACCTGAGAACCCACCCCCCGTGACCCGTGTCCTTTTCTGACGCCTCATCCGGGCTCTGCTTCAGGAAACGGGAACAGAGGCCGATCTGCAGAGGCAGTTGGCAGCCTCTCCTGGGAGGGGACACACCACTTCCAGGTCACTGCCCGCCCGCCCGCCCTCAGGCCAGTCGCTGGAGTTAGCCCCACAGGCAGGCTGGACCCGGTTCCAGGACTCACCCAGGGCAGGCACTGGACCAGGACGCCGCTCCGGGGGACGCAGCGGTGGGGGCCGACCTCGTTCGGCGGGATGTAGCACTTGCTGCGGCACTCGCCGTGGTCCGTGCAGTGGCCCCCGTTGGGCTGGGGGCCGTGGTCCGTGCAGTAGCCCCCGTTGGGCTGGGGGCCGTGGTCCGTGCGGTAGTCCCCGTTGGGCTGGGGGCAGCGGTCAGGGCCAGCAGGCGGCCCCCTCCGGCCCCGCGGCCCTTGGCCTCACCTTGCGCCACGGCACGCACTGCAGGAAGATGGTCTTGGCCGTGCAGTACGTCTGCAGCCCGAAGCTGCTGGTGACGCAGCAGCCACTCCGGCACTCCGTGTGGTCCAGGCAGGTGTGCCCGTTTGGCTGCGGGAAAAGGAGACCTGGTCCCTTCTGCCAGGCCCCCGGCCCTCCTTCCCAGGGTCCGCCCTCCCCGGCCTCTCGCCCCTCGCCGGCCCGGGCAGGGCACACCTTCTGCCAGGACAGGTACTGCTGGAAGACGGCCTGGGGGCTGCAGAACTTCTGGGGACTCAGGCTGTTGGTGACGCAGCCGCCTCTCTGGCACTCTGAGTACTCCTCGCAGGCCTCCCCGATGCCCTGCCGAGTCAAGGCTCCCCCACCTGTGCCCACCGCAGCCCCGTGTGCTCCCCCACCCTGCAAACTTGGCTCGCCCGCCTGACACTGTGCTGGAACATCCGCAGACCACGGGGGTCCAGAAGACGGAGAGCCGGGGGAGGGAGGCAGAGGGTAAACTGAGGCACAGAGGACGGAAGAGGCGGCTGTGTGGCCGAGCAGCGGGCAGGGAGGGGTGCCACGAATGAAGCTTCCAGCCCCTCCCCATGCTCTCACGTTTTACAGGTGAGACGCTGCGGCTCAGAGAGGGTAGGTGACCTGCCCGGGATCACAGAGCCAACAAGTAGTTGGACTGAAGCCCAGGCCTGCCGCCCGCCCACCACCTGTGAGGGGCCCTCCACTCGGCTCTCAGAAATCTCCTTCACAAGCTCAAAACTACTGAGGGTCCCAAAGAGCCGCTGTTCCGCGTTTACTGTTCTGGGTAAGTCACTTCAGCTCTCAAGGGCTGAGAATAAAGGCGTCTGGGCTCAGGGTCGGGGCGGCCCAGCGGGTGAGACCCGAGGACAGAGGAGGAGCCGCCCAGAGACCAAGCAGACAGGAGGGCCCCGGGGAGGGGGCCGTGCTGCACGGAGTCCTCCCTGCTGCTCCTGTGCAGGGGCCACCGCGGACCAGGCAGGACGAGGGGATCAGGGCGGTGACACACAGCCCCCAGGACAGCCAGGTCGCGTTGTCTCCGCTGGCACACCACGATGCACAGGAGCTGATCACTGTCGCCCCGCACCCGCTGCCCCTACCCCCCCCCCCCCCGCTCCCCTGGGCCCGCCCCCTGCCATTCCACGCCGCGCTGGGTCCCTGGAGCAGCTTCTGTCCCAGGTCGCAGGGGCCACTGGACTGGGGACTTGGCGCCGGGCCTGGGTGTGAGTCAGGAGTCAGCTGTCCCGGGGGCCTGAGAGCCTTGGGAGGCGGGCGCGCTCACAGGCTGGGCGTGGGAGGGGGGACAGAAGAGGGAGCACAGAGCCAGGGCAGGAAAGCGAGCCGGGAGCCAGGGGCCCCACGGGCCTGGGTGTGGGCAGCCCTGCACCGTGCAGCGACAGGGGGCAGGGACGTGTAGCTCACCTTGTGGGACCGTGGCAGGTGCGTCCCCCGCGTCGTCACCAGGGTCGCGGGCCGCAACCAGAGCAGCAGCAGACGCCCAGAGCTGGCCGTGGCGCGTGGCCTGTTGGCCCCCGAGAGGCCCCGGCCGCAGGGCTCCTGCCCCTCCCCTTCCCAGGCTTTCTCCATCCAGATGGATTTTTAAACATGAATAGTCATTGTTTTCTTAGAGGGGTTTTGTTTACAAGATTGGGCAGGAAGTGCAGAGTTCCCGTACATGCCCCTGCCCCGCCTCTGTTTCCATTATCAGTATCTTAGTCGGTGTCATGCATTTGCTGCAATCCATCAAGCGATTTTGATACATTATTATAAACCAAAGCCCACCGTTTCATGAGGGTTCGGTCTTGGTGTTGTACATGCGATGGGCTTGGACACATGTATGAAGTGTACCTACGCTTGAGAATCATATGGGGTCGTTTCACTGCCCAGAAACTCCTCTGTGCTCTGCCTGTTCATCCCCCAGCCCTGGCACTGCCCACCCCGACCCCCGATCCCTTCACATCCCCATGGCTGTGCCTTTTCCAGACCGTCCCAGGGTTGCAGCTGTGCAGTGTGTCACCTTTCAGGTGGCTTTTCCCACTTCCTAATACGCACCTGAGGGTCCTCCGTGTCACTTTAGGGCTTGGTAGCAAATTTCTCTTTATCACTGAGTGGAAAATGTATTTTCAACAGCCTTTCTCTGGGGAGCGATCGAGCCCTTTATTGGTTTAGACAAGAGCGTCTCTGAGGTTAGCGCGCCCAGAATCTCTCCTCGCTTCTCTTTTGGGCCCACCTTGGCAGCGGTCCCCTCTGGTCTCCAGCTCTGGACCCTGCGATGTGACAGGACGAGTGTCCTCAGGACCCACGGCCCTCACCCTCAGACTGTCCCAGGTCACTCTATTTGTTGCGGGGCATCTGGGGAGACCGCCGGGCCTTTCTGGGCCCTAGTTCCCCTCCCTGTGAAATGAGGGGTGGGCCCCCTTTGAACCGTCGGTTTTCAGATGATTCCGTGAAGCACGGGGTCATCTGCCTCGCAAAGCACCGTGGAAATCTGCTTTTTAAACTCCCGCGCCTGTTCTGGAGCACGCCCAGCCCTTCAGAGCCTTCCGGAGAGCAGAGCCGGGTGGAGCACAGACAGGGAGCGGGGGTGGCCTGGGGGTGGTGCCCCCCCCAGCCCGCCCAATTGGGACAGAACCTCAGACCAGGAAAGTCGTCGTGGGCAGGGGCCTGGTGGGGCAGCGGTGTTGGGTACCTGGGGGTGGGCGGGCAGGGGTCTGGTTTGTCTCCTGCGCATTGCACCTCACGCAGAGCACCCTATCCAAACGACCAGGGCTGGTATTTGCTCCAGAACCATTCCTGTCTGTCAGCACAGACTCTTTTGGCCCCATGCAAATATCCAGAAATTACCCTGTGCCTTCAGTAAGGACAGAATTGAGCAACACAGAACATCTCAGAGTGGCTTCGTTTATGCTTTTGTTAATGAAAATGGCAAGTCACAGGACACATCACTTCTCTGAGTTTTGGTTTTCTGTAATTTTAGAGTTAAATTTATCTACAGTAAACCATAGCTCATGAGCCACAAAAGCAGTGCTAAAGCATTTCATTCTGAAGTTTTGCTCTTTCAAAAGAGACACAATAGCATGAACTCAGAGCCCTGTTTGGATCTGCGGATGCCGAAAACTGAAGATGCAGAGAAAAGAGAGCAGAGGATGCAGGTCTTAGTGACAACAATACCATTTCTCATTTAAATTTTACCTTTGAAAAAGCACCTCAAAGTCTATTTCAACGTGTTGGACAACAGTGTTTTAAACTTTTCCCCTCAAAAAAAAAAGCACCTGCAAACCTGGGACACACCTTTCCCATACGTGCGTCCTACGTGCTGGCAGAGGTCCAAGTGTGTCTGCAGGTCTCCCTGCAACCCCATCGCAGGTCGGCAGATGTGAGCAGGCCGTTCTGGGTCCTGGGGCCTCACCGTGCGCCGCCGCCCGCACTTCCCAGGCCCCGGCCCCGCCCAGGATCCTGTCCCTCCACTCAGAATCGGCCCTTGGGAGGAGGATAAGTGTTTCCACGGTGGAACCCAAGACACACTCTCTGGTCCTGGGAGACTGAACCTACAGACAGACCCACAGCCTGGAGCAGCCACCCTGGGGAGCTGGCCAAAACTCTCAGTGACCCCAGATGCCAGCCCCAGGTCAGTGACCCCAGCTTCCCTGGCTTTGCCCCTCCTCCAACTCAGGACCAGCCTGAGAAGCCAAATATGCCCCCTGACCCATCACACGGGACCCCCGTATCAGTCTGCCAGGCTGCATAACAACCCCACAGACGAGGACGGCCTTGTATCCTGGAGCCTGGCAGGCCAGGTGTGGGCAAGGCGGGTTCCCTCTGAAGCCTGTCTCTTTGGCCGCCTCCTCCCCTGCGCGGTGGACCAGCCCCCATGCTGGGCAAGCTCTGGACAAGCGCCCTTGTGCTGACCACGGCGCTCTGCCTTGCTGCTGACCTGTGAGGGCCACCGGACACAGGCTCCAGGGACGGCGCGGGAACTCACTTGTTTTCCTTCATAGCAGGTCAGAGGTCTCGGATGCCTCAAATCACACGACTCAAGGAAAATGACACCAGACAGTTGAGTCGTACAAGCAGTTTCCAAGATAAATGGCAACCCCACAGCCATTGTAGGAACTTTGTAAACCCTGTTCCCACATCATATCAAACCTATCAAATATAATCATTATGTCACAACTACGTAAGAGCTAAATTTCAATCACAACTTGAACACCTTTAACTTTCAAACCTGCAGTGTTCTTTTTGTACTTTAAACCAGGAAAAAAATATTTTCTGGTCTCAAACCTTTTCTTAGGCCCTTGAAAAGTTCGCAGACCCAGTTTACGCAATTGGGTACGATGTGCCTGATCAATCAGACAGCCCACACGGCATGGGAACACCGTACCCCTTGGAGAAAGTCCAGTTCATGGAAGGTCACAGCCCACCTGTGCTCACAGCCCCATCACTCACAACAGCCGAGGGGGGAGCAGCCCGAGGGTCCATCGATGGATGATGGACAAACAAAACGTTTGTCCACATAATAGAACATTATTGTCCTTAAAAAGGAAGGACACTCCGGCACCTGCTACAACACAGAAGAACCTGGAGGACATGATGCTGCTCAGTGAGATAAGCCAGGCGCCAAAGGACAGATTCTGTGTGGTTGGTTCCCACTATGTGATCCTTCCTGGAGGAGTGAAATCCACAGAGACGGGAAGCAGGAGGCTGGCTTCCAGGGTCTGGGGGTGGGGGGTGTTATTTTATGGGGACAGAGTTTCTGTTTGGGAAGATGAAAGAGTCCTGGAGATGAGGGTGGTGAAGGTTGCACAACAGTGAAAATGTGCTTAATGCCCCTGAGCTGTACACCTAAAACATGGTTAAGGTGGTAAATTCTGTATTGTACACATTTTACCGGAATTAAACTCAGGGCCCTGGAGGCATAGCTGGTCCT